CAAAGTACACTAGTTGAGGAAAAGTTCACTAGATGCATCCCTATATCCTGTAATTACACAAGAAAATCTAACCAGTGCCAAGTTCTCTTAAACACCTGTCTCTTATACACATCTAGATGTGTATAAGAGACAGTCTCCATGTTGGTCAGGCTGGTCTCAAACTTGACCTCAGGTGATCCGTGTGCCTTGGCCTCCCAAAGTGCTGGGATTACAGGCGTGCACCACCACACCCAGCTAATTTTGTATTTTTAGTAGAGACAGGGTTTCACCATGTTAGCCAGGCTGATCTCAAACTTGACCTCAGGTGATCCGCCCACCTCAGCCTCCCAAAGTGCTGCGATTACAGGCATGAGCCACCACGCCAATCTTTAAGAACCTGCCTCAGGTACACCTAACTACTAAGTCAAATTCCTTTGACTGTTAATCCTGCATTATAATTATCTTCTTACTTAGTTGAATTTAATTGTTATTTTCTCTAAATTCACTTTCTAAAATCTTTAAAAACCACCTAGTAATTACTCCAAACATTTGGCCATCATCATCACTTTAAGGGAGGATAATGATCTAAGCTAAGGGAAGTCATTTATCTTGGCTCCAAAAGACTGGACTTCTGTATGTCTAATTCCTTAGTTTAGAATTTGTTGGGGGCAGGGCACAGTGGCTCACGCCTGTAATCCCCGCACTTTGGGAGGCTGGGGTGGGTGGATCACTTGAGCTCAGGAGTTTGAGACCAGCCTGGGCAAGATGGCCAAAACCTGTCTCTACTTTAAAAAGCACAAAAATCAGCCAGGTGTGGTGGTGCACATCTGTAAACCTAGCTACTCAGGAGGCAGAGGCACGAGAATAGCTTGAGTCCAGGAAGACGAGGTTGCAGTGAGCTGAGATCATGCCACTGCACTCCAGCCTGGACTAGAGTGAGACCCTGTCTCAAAAAAAAAAAAAAAAAAAAAAAAAAAAAATTGTTGGAAAGCCCAAATAAAAAGTCTTTACTCTCCATCTGATCATAAAATGTGACTCTTACAAATCAGACATAATGTCTGAGCTGATATCTCCTTGCCTATTAAGCAAGAAAAGAGACATTTCTCCTTTACAAATCCTAAGCTTAAGCTTTTCAATTTTCAGTCAGTCCCAAGACTCATTCACTATAAATTGAATGGGTATGATATACCAAGACTATGTCAAAGATAAACATAATGAATTAAAAGCTTACTGGTACAATTCTGTTCTCAGAAATGAAATTACATTACTAGAATCCAACTCAGGATTTTTTTTTTTTTTTTTTTGAGACAGCGTCTTACTCTGTCGCCTAGGCTGGAGTGCAGTGGCATGAACATGGCTCACTGCCTCCAGGGCTCAAGTGATCCTCCTGTCTCGGCCTCCCGAGTAGCTGGGACAACAGGTATGCATGACCATGCCCAACTAATTTTTTGTTGTTGTTGTTTTGTAGAGATAGGATCTGGCCATGTTGTCCAGGCTGGTCTTGAACTCCTGGGCTCAAGCAATCCTCCCAACTTGGCTTCCCAAAGTGCTGGGATTACAGATATGAGCCATTGAACCCAGCCATGATTATAGTCCTATCACCCTGTATGAAAATACTTTAATACAAAAATGATGCTCTTCTTTGTTCTGAAGTTGTCATTATTTCATCTTCAAGATTAGAACTTCTTTGAATGTAGAAAGTGGTTCTTATTCTGTGTCTCCCACTATGCCTTAAGAGAGGGCCTCATATGGAGCTCTAGCATCTCTCGCTAATGCTTTCTGACAATCTCTTGCTCTGTCACCTTCACACTCCTAAGGCCATCATTCCTTTAGCTAGAGAATAATTCATTTAAAAATCTTTCCAAAGTACACTAGTTGAGGAAAAGTTCACTAGATGCATCCCTATATCCTGTAATTACACAAGAAAATCTAACCAGTGCCAAGTTCTCTTAAACACTTGGAGAAGAAGGGGTAGGAGTCTTGATTACTTTGCTTGCTGTTCATAAGAATTTAAGGCTGTCACGGAGCAGGCCATGCCTAGGAAAGACTCTGGTAAAGATGTCTTTCTGCTGAAGGCACCCTACCTGTACTAGCTCTGAGGAACAGGCTAGAAGTAGACAGAACACCTACCACAAGCTATATACTAGCAATACAGAGAGGACTTCCAAGATCCTGGCATCCCTCTGACCTCATCTCCAACCACTCTCACCGCAGCACACACAGGAGACGGGAAGAAATGGACAAGACGGGAGTGGTTGACAACGGGTCCAACTAAAAGTCATGACGCTAGAGGGTTTCGAGCAGATCCTAAAGATGGGGAACCGTCAACAGTCTTCAAACAGAGCAGTGACACGGTCCCGGATGTTCACTTTGAGCGCAAAGTGGGGACTGGAATGGATGTAGAGTACAAAGGAGGCAGGGAGACCACTTAGGAGAACCACGGAGCGAGGATGGGGCTGCCTGACCCGTCTGGGAAAAGGACTTGTAGAATGGGTCCAGGGGCATGGCAGGAAGCCAGGAGCTCAGCGTAGGGCAGGATAACCCTACAGAGACTGTCCAGCGGAGCCTGAGGGAAAGGACGGGAGGAAGAAGGTGGGACCTGAAGGAGGAAGTGAAAACCCGCAACAGCCGAAGGCTCCGGGAGTCCTCTCAAAGCATCTCCCCGGAGCCCAGCCCAAGCGCCTCAGCGGCCTCCCTCCTCCCCGCCTCCCCTTGCTGGCCCGCTGACCGAACGAGTTGAGAAAGTCCGCGATTTTCTTGATGCTGCTGGTGATTATCTCAATGTACTCCCGGTTAGCCCAGTCCTGGTGAATCTCCCGCTGCACCGGATCCTCCTGTCCCGCCATGGCGGCCGCCTGAGGAAGAGCGACTGCGCAGGCGCCCCGACCCTACAGGCCTCTAGCGCGCCTGCGCCATCAGCCCACACCCATCCTCTGGAGCGCCCACGAATTCTCGGGTACTGTGATACGCCTGTGCAATGTAACGTCCTCGCTGGCGTTTGCTCTCTACTCCCACGCTGTAGAAAACAGAAGCCTCGACTCCGGCGGCGAGGTTGTAGTGCACGCGCGTTATGGTGTTAAACGGGCTCGTGGGGGGTCTTGCCGTCTCCCTCAACTGCTCCAGGCTGTGTCCGCAGTAAGATGGGCACAGTCGATTAAATCACACTAAATAGCCGGGCGCGGTGGCTCACGCCTGTAATCCTAGCACTTTGGGAGGCCGAGGCGGGCGGATTACGAGGTCAGGAGATCGAGACCACGGTGAAACCCCGTCTCTACTAAAAATACAAAACATTAGCCGGGCGCGGTGGCTGGCGCCTGTAGTCCC